GTTTTCTAATTCTGCAATAATTGCATTTTATCATTACTTGTAGTTCGCAATACAGCCTCTCGAAAATCCAAACCTCGTAAGGAAGACATTTTGGACATTTCAAATAAAGCCGCATCTACTCTTCTAGGGGCTTTTGAACAGGTTTATTCCCTGTTTCCTGTTTGGTATTGGGTTTCCGGTTCTGTCTAAAGTCTACTTCTAATCTATACTTCTAACGTCTCCGTTTAAACTCTTTTTTTAATTACTTTTCCCTCAATAGCATTAGATAGGTGAGCCTATCCATCGGTTCAAACTCCTCCCCTGTGTTTGAAACTGGAGTTGAGGTTTATTCTTAGTTTAGGATTGGGTTTCCGGTTCCTTCCAAATATTTTTATTCTATTTCAATCCCAGTAGCCGATTGCGTTTTAGTGAAGTTATCGTCTTGTTTAGGGTGAATTGATTCACACACACACACACACACACACACATATATATATATATATATATATATATATATATATATATATATATATATATATAGTTGTATATTTAGCAGCAATCCTTCCTTTTGCATGTTTCATTAAAAACGACAGACAAGGTACTAAGGCTAAGCTTTTTTTAAAAAATTTTCTTGCGTTCGAACAAGAGCTTTCTTTTATGGACAAAGGGTGTGTAAAAATGTTTTATATTTCCGGCTTTACCTTTAGCCATTATCAAGGATGATTCGATTTTTCAGTTTAATTGAGTGTGTGCATTATCTGTATGTTTTAGTGTGTTGTAAAAATGTTTTTAATTTCCGAATACGGTTAGCACATTTTGGATGTGTGTGTGTGTGTGTGTGCGTGCTGTGTAATAGAGCATGTCCAACTCTATACTCCTAACGTCTCTATCTAACACTTGAATTTTATTTTCAGTTTATTTAATTATTTATTAATTTGTCCACAATAAGAATAGATAGTTTCATCTATTGTCCGGTTCACACTCCTCCTCAGTCTTCTGAACAGGAGTATATTTTTATCACTTGTCTCCTGTTTAGGATTAGGTTTCCGTTTCCTACTGAAATATACTTCAGCTCTATACTTCTGAATGTCCTCCTAAATTCTGGAATTTGAAGTTCGCTTATCACCCTGGTCTTCTGAACAGGCGTAGAGATTTGGCCATTGTTTACTGTTTAGGATTGGATCTCACATTCTTCTAACGTCTTCTCATTCCCTTTCACTCCCAGTAACCCCTTGCGTCTTAGTGGCATTATCGCCATCTGTCTCCCTGAAACTTGTTCTTTTATTGTCCTTTCTCCTCGCTAAAGTCTTCTTATTCTCTATCACTCCCAGTAATCCCTTGTGTCTTAGTGGCATTATCGCCATCTTCTGTCTTCCTGAAACCTGTTCTTTTATTGTCCTTTCTCCTCGCTAAAGTCTTCTTATTCTCTTTCACTCCCAGTAATCCTTTGTGTCTTAGTGGCATTATCACCTTGCTTAGGATGATTTTACTAAAAACCAAAAAAAAAAAAAAAACAACCCCCCCCCCCAAAAAAAAAAAAAACATCGAGTACTTGTCTATCTCTAGTAAATATTAAAGATTGATTGCAACACTTTAAAGAAGATGACGTTTTCAACTCCGTCTCTCGACGATACAAGCTTCGAAAGGAAAACATTTTGCCGACTTCAAATGAAGCGGCTTTTACGTATAAACATGTAATTCTTTTTAATCTCGAATTCATTATATCATTCATTCATTCTTTATTCAGCATTTTTTTAAACTGTCATCATAGCAATGGGTTCGGCTCTTGGGCCGACTCTAATGTGTCATGTACAAAACAGTCTTCAATAATTCCACCAAGCCCTCCATATACGCACGTTATATTTTACGACATATTCATGTTAACAAAGAGCTTAGGAAAAAAATAAAAGAAACCGAAAAAACCTTTGCGAATAACTTTGTCCTACTGTTTACTTACGAACTCAATATTAACAATAAAATCCTTATTCGTTGATGTATTAGTCGATGCCAACGACCATAACTTAACCACCTCTCTTTACAAAGAAAAAAAAAACACTTACAAGAAAACAAACTAGAAAAGTGAATGCCTTCACATATACAAAATAACTGTTATATAAAAAACATGATTTACAGAGCCTATATATATATATATATATATATATATATATATATATATAGTACAGGTAATCGATCCTTTGGTATGTAATTCGGGTGGATCCTAGTAATATTAATTATTAAAACTGATCCACAGAGAGCTCGATGTTTCTATCTTAACAGAGCATATATATTTTTTTTATTGCTGTATAATATATATATATATATATATATATATATATATATATATATATATATATATATACTTTTTGGGAAGTAAAGTCTGATGATCCAGAGCCCTTTAAAAGGGCTGTGGTGAAATAATTTATTACATGGAACCATAAAGTGGTCTGTTTTTTATTCATATATATATATATATATATATATATATATATATATATATATATATGTGTGTGTGTGCGTGTGTGTGTTTTCAGAGTGTGGGTACATTAAATAGACAGATGTTTTCAGGTAAATTTAATATACCTTGTTTATACACACACGCACGCACACACACACATATATGATGAATTGGATCGTGATTACGATTCCAGTATAATAAATTATAACCATGGAATATTAGCTTTTGAGTGTTTTACACACACACACACATATATATATATATATATATATATATATATATATATATATATATATATATGTCTTGCACAACAGAGAAATACAAAATTACCTAGAGTATAGACTATTTCAACTAGCATCAATGCTTAGCTTTTTTTAATATTTATTACCTGCACTATATATATATATATATATATATATTATAAGCGCAGTTGTTAGTGAAAAGCGCTTAATATCAGTGACAGAGCTGACATAATAAGTTATTGGGATATGAGTTTGTAATACTCGGTTTCACCCTTTTTACGATCGCACAAAGGGATTGTCCGATGATCGTAAAACTGTATATCCATACAGAAGAGGGATTGCTACCCAAATACACACATACACATACACACGCATGCACACACACTATATATATATATATATATATATATATATATATATATGTATGGATGCACGGTGGTTAAGGAATCGGAGTGTTCGAATTCCCGTCGACTTCATTACATTTGCTTACGTGCTTCGGAAGGCATGACTTTATCTATTTCTTATCCCACAGCTATGTGTAATATAGCAGGGCAGACCGGGTCCTATTACCTTGGTTGCCAACCAGTCTAGGAGAAGAAAACTATGAATTCAATGCGGGTCGCACTATCCATTAGGGTGGAGAGGAAATAAAAATGTTACTCTAATTAAAATGAAAAACAATTTACCATGACGAAAATGTATAGAAAGTGCTTTAATTGCTAAATCCGTCACAGTAAATTTGCTTCCAGTTTCTCATTTCACCTATCTTAACAGATCTTCTATTATCACAATATGGGATATTTAATAACAAATATGCTCGAAAAATTATATATATATACTCGACTCTCTCGTCGAATTGGACGTATGTGGGTCAAGCAGATCAGTTCCTAGGAAGCCGACAGCCCGATAACAGCACATGGGATTTGATTATAGTGGTGAAGGTTTCGTGCAGGACCATCCACATTTTTTGAAGGGCCGATTACAGAGATCTGGTGCACTAAGTGCCACAAGGTCCCCAAACGACCCACCGCAGGTTTTGAATCAGAGTTGTCCTTCTCCTAGACCAGTTGCCATCCAAGTCTATAGAACCCAGTCTGCCTGCTATTTTAGCCATAGCTGGAGGGAGAAGAAGAGGATTCACACCTTTCCCAAGGGTATTAGCACGTAAGTGAATGTAATGGATTCGACTGGAATTCGAACTCGGCTGTCTGATTCCTCAATCCATGCCGCTTTCCATTAGTCCACCGTGCCATATACATATATATATATATATTTAAGTTTGAAGAATTTGGTAAACCGAATTGGTACATCGAAGGTGGATGAAATCCTGAGAGCTCAATGTGAAGAACAGAGCTAATATTTAATGAACAACAGATCACTTTAAGGTACCATGACAATAATTTATTTCACCAAAATCCTTTTTAAGGGATTTTGGATCATCAGGTAACACTTCCAACAATGAAATGAGAGGAAAAATATGATTAGAAATTGATGGGTAGTGTAATTAAAATTACACTACCCATCAATTTCTAATCATATTAAATATGATCATTAATCATATTAATATTTCTAATCATTAAATCATATTAATATTTCTAATCATTATATATATATATATATATATATATATATATATATATTTAAAATATGATTCCAACTCGCGAGTTGGAATCATATTTTTAATAAATAATTACATTTATGCTCTACTTTTGTATCGAGCACTATTCTTTAAAAATAATAACTAAAATACTAAGGAACTTTGGATTATTTACCTAACCTGTTCCTTCCTGTTTTCTATATATTTTCACACACACACACACACACACACACACACACACACACACACACACACACACACACACACACATATATATATATATATATATATATATATATAAATATATATATAAACCTAGTAAGCCAGAAACTACCTACCATAGTTTCTACAAACGGATCTTCAGGGTTTTTTAAATTTTGCTCTACTTAGTGTATTGAGCACTTTTACGTTTTAACTGAAGTTACTCTGTCGGTGTATTTTCTTTTGGTTAGACATTGTAGTGCTGATTGATTATTTTCGATCAATACGGATGTTTTTCCTCTTTTCTTTTTTTACTGATTTTTTCCATGTTATCGGTTTGGTCAGTCATATTTTTATTTGCAAATTGTATTAACCGTTTTTTTTCATATCGATCATGTATAGGTGTTAAAATAATACATAATACACACACACACACACACACACACACACACACACACACACATTTTTTTAAGCGTTTCACCCCAAGCAAGGCGGGAAGCCAGTAGCACGCCAGTGGTCACAGAGA